TTATATTATACTGTGTGTGTATATATATATATATATATATATATACACACACACACAGAAGTATATCATATATATCATCATATATCATATATATCATCAGCACCGATCAGGTTGCGATACTCACCCGTACCAGTAGCGCGGGTCGTTGGGCAGGCAGTGGTTGAGGCTCCTCTGGGCCAGCGCTTTCTTCTTGTTGAGGACGAACTCCTGCAACCTCATCTTCACCTCAGTGCTCGCCACAGCGCCTGTCGATCACAGCCCACAGTTCAGGAAGATCACAAACAGCCAAGCAGCGGGACATTAATGGCATTTTCTCAGCCTCTAGCCGCGCTATAACGCTAGATCTCTCTAAAAGCCTCGGGAAGGGGTTTTATGCATTTGTGACTGTCAATTTCTTCGCCATTTCTAAACCCTGTAATTTGCAGTGCTGTAATTTCGTCTTCTAAATGCTCTTAAAAAAACTCTTAATAGTCTTAGACTGAGAAGATCGAACAGTGTCCAATTGATCACGACCACAAAGGCTGACACTTGTTTTCTGGTGTCGATAAACCGCTCTTCCACTGCAGCCAGACTCGGTTCAGATATCTCTTCACATCTGAGAGGAACGACCCCTTTATCCGCTCTTAAATAGAGTGCAAACTCTCTATTCCAATTCCCTTGAGACCGCCACGGTTAAACAAAGATGTCTTTTTTCTCACTATTGTTCCCTCTCTCAAAGAAACACATCAGATGGATGAATTCTCATAGCTTTTCCTTCAATTACCACCTTTCCCATCGTCTGTAAACATGTCCCCAGAGGCCGTCGCTAGTGTACGCACACATCTGCGCCGCCAGACAACACGCACTCCTCGCAGACAACAGGTGACTGCCGTGTCAACGACAACAGTGACAGATAAAAATAGACCGGCTGTACTGTACTGATAATCTTATAAGATATCAGACCATTGGTTTTGCCAAAAACTACCATAGACTTCACAGGCCACGCACACACTAGCCATGTTTCCCATTCTCCTATTTTTATGCACATTTTGAGATATCGCATTAAAAAAAACAATGCACGTAAACACTAGGGCTGGGTTTTGACACAAATGTCACGATTCGATTTGATTCTCATTTACAAGCTTGCGATTCGATTACCAATTCGATTCAATTCAATATAGATTATTTTGGATGTATATCAGGTACAGTACATGCCAAATTTTCTCAAGGAAAAAAAGTCTCTCAACTAATGCTGTAAAATATACATGAGAGTCAGTTGGTACTACATTACCATAATACTGAAGGTTAAAGTTGACTGATTTGTTAAAATGACACTTAATGAAGTTTTTAAAATAATAAAGTTACAATTTCATAATATTTCTACTTCAAATCGTTTTAAAAAATATATAAACAATGGTGGCTGTAATAAAAACTTGATGGATTTATTCAAACATAAATTAACCTAAATTAAATTAAACATTGAAGAACACTCAAATTTATAATCAATATGTTATATGGCGCATATATTTAGCAAAATGCCCCTCCCTACAGTTTATTTTTCTATCTCACTAATGAGTTTATGGTCACCAAATATGTTTTTCTGAGGTAAATGTGACGTTACGTGACATTGTTTACAAGACGTTATGTTGACTTCTTTGCGCGAAGGAAACACTGATTGAGCGATTACATGAGACAGGATACGGATTGTAAAGTTGTACTCTTTCTTTTAACTTACCTTCGGATGTTTAGTCATGTTTATTTTGTGCTGAAACTGGTATTAATGTGGAGGAGATGATCAGTTCACATGCGCCTCGCGCTGTTGAACTGAGGCGCTACAGCGATCTGTCACTCCACATTAAACAGCGCCAAAATGGCATTTATTGTTCGAATATTGCAATGCAATGGACAGAATTTGAAATCTGAGACTTTGTTTCATATTAAAAGTACCAAAGCACAATGCTTATTGCGATATATTGGATGGGAAGTGCCCTTCAATGTTCCGTCCATTAACTGAAAACAGGCTAGACTAATTGATTCTCGGGATTTAAGAATCGATATCGTTCCGTAAAAATGAGAATCGATTAATATCGAGATATCGATATTTTTTACCCAGCCCTAGTAAACACCAAGATGCAAATAAATACTTTACATGTGCATGACAAAAAACTTGGTTAACTTTTTTATCCAACAGGAAAACGTGCATAAACCAGAATAGAAATGCATTTACCAAATCAATTCTTTGATGTGCATCAAAAAAGTAATGTGACTTTGCGCGATAGGATGGCATAACCGGACTAACGTTGCACAGCAAGATAATATGACTGCATTTACTGCATTTCGTGTGTGCACTCTGACGCACAACTAATTTATTATACTGTATATGAAAAAGACCCACAGTGACTTCTCATACTGCAGCAAATTACCTTTTTCGTAGTGATATTTGATGGCAGTTTATCAGAAAGTTATGATTTTGTTCTCTTCGTCTTGCTGGATGGAAACTTTTTTGGTGCTTTTTTGGCAAAAAAGATTTATGCGATATTGCAATTTTGTACATACTGTAAGTTAAATTCCCAACTTCGGCTGAAAACATGGCTACTGTTTCAGGAGTGAAAACTGCATATAAACATGTGAATGAATGCCCTTAATTTGTTTGTTTGTTTGTCCACTTATTATAAGCAAGGCAAATTAAGCATCTTTTTGCTTCTTGTTTGAGCTTAGATCATAAAGCGATCCAGTTTCTGGAGTTAATCAATTAAAGCAGTAGCTTATTTTCAATTTAATGCATTTAGATTTAAGTTTATTATGGGCTTGTTCTTTGTTGTTGTTTTTTTCTGAATTTATCAGGAGTTAATACGGTTGTAGAATGCGGTTGTCACTCCTGTAAATTACTGAACTGCGCGTGTACAGAACAGGATTGAACACTAAAAGGCGAACTGACAACCAAATTTACATGTAATGTATTTGTAGTCATAGTGAAGAAACAGAAACCACATAGTTACTCTAATAATGAGTGCAATTTTGCATGAGCAAACACCCTTAAAATGTAGTTTTTTTATTGAAAATTATTTTAGAAGGAAAACAGGTGGTTAGAAAGAAGTGATGCAGGTCATACTCAAACTTATATCATCTACATGAGTGGTGTGATACATGGTCTAACATGGTGTGACTGCTGACTACTGACTGAAAACTGACTACTTCAGGCAAGTTTTTAATTTTGGTTATGAAAAGCAATTATAATGCTGAGGCACACATCCATGCCACAGTGCTGATTAGCCTAATAAATCAAAGACCTTTATGTGTTGCAGTCAGGCAATTAGCTTTTCACTCACTCTCTTGGCCGCGTTCTTTGTTTTTGAGTAACTGGAGCTTCTGTTCCCGCTGCTGTTTCTCCAGCTCCTGCTCCTGACGATGGCGCTCCAACTTCCGCTGGTGTTCCAGGAGCTCCTGCTGATGTTTCAGGGCCAGGAGGTCCTGCTGATGCTGAAGGGGAGGAAAAAGAACACACACATAAACATTATTCAAGTCAATACAGTGGACCTTGATTTCAACTGTCTTAAAGTCCTAATAAATTCATCAAAATAAGTATTTTATTTACTCTTTTTTTTTTTTTTAAACAACATTATTCTGTTTTTACTGTGCAAGATTCTTTGGTGCATGTTATATCAAATATATACATAAAACTTAAATAAAAAGCATGAAGCAAATTAAAAATAAACATTAAATAAAATATTTAAAAATTAAAAAAACACTATTGTTCAAAAGTTTAGGGTCAGTAAGACTTTTTAATTGAAAAGCAACTAACTTCTTTTCAGCAAGGACGCATTAAATTTGCAATCACTTACAAAAGATTTTTGTGCTTTTTATTCATCAAAAAAAATTCTGGAAAAAAAAAACTGTCTCTACAAAAATATTAGACACAACTAAAACACAACTGTTTTCAACAATTATAATAATAATAGGCTAAATGTTTCTTGAGCAGTAAATCAGCGTATTAGAATGATTTAATATTTAAAAATTAAAAAAACACTATTGTTCAAAAGTTTAGGGTCAGTAAGACTTTTTAATTGAAAAGCAACTAACTTCTTTTCAGCAAGGACGCATTAAATTTGCAATCACTTACAAAAGATTTTTGTGCTTTTTATTCATCAAAAAAAATTCTGGAAAAAAAAAACTGTCTCTACAAAAATATTAGACACAACTAAAACAACTGTTTTCAACAATTATAATAATAATAGGCGAAATGTTTCTTGAGCAGTAAATCAGCATATTAGAATGATTTCTGAAGGATCATGTGACACTAAAGACTAGACTGGAATA